TATATCATATCCCCTATCATGCACCAGCTGCCTGGAAAATTGAACAATACAACAGACTGTTAAAAACTGCGCTGAAAGCAATGGGGGTGGAATCTTTAAAAATTGGGACAAGCATTTAGAGCAAGCCACCTGGTTAGTTAACACCAGGGGATCCATCAATAGAGCTGGTCCTGCTCAATCAGACCTACATACTGTAGGAGGGGATAAAGTCCCTGTGGTGCATGAAAGGAATATGTTACGGAAAACTGTTTGGCAACTCCTGCTTCAGGCAAAAGCAAACCCATTTGTAGGACTGTTTTTGCTCAAGAACCTGGATATACTTGGTGGGTGATGCTGAAGAATGGAGACGTTCAATGTGTACCCCAATGGAATTTAACCCTTGGTGAGAATTCTGAATCCTGAGCTGTATGATGTTGATTGCTACATAATACTAACAGTGTTCAATAAGTGTTTTTCGGGATAACATAGTGGTGATGAAACCTGTGCTAGCTTCATCAAGTGACATCCAGCAAGCTCTTCAAGATGAACATGCTACCCATGGGCACAAACCACAATGAATTTCATACCATCTTTCCTGCCCTGAAATGAAATCCTGCAATTGTGAACTAAGTGGACTTAAACTTTTGTAAGGGGTGGAATGTCCTGGTTTGAGGTAAAACAGGACCAATTTTGTTCTCTAACTTCACTTCTTAGCTGGGCCTCCCTAACTCCTGAAATTAGCAGCATATTGTGCAGACAGTGTTCGCTTTCTCAGAGTGATAAGACCTATGTTTATAGTTGATGCCCAGGCATGGTATGCAGAGAGGCTCCTGCTTATACTTATTGCTATAACAACCAAGGCCAACCAACTTTGTTATGTGCCCCATTGGAGGGTCGGAAGCAGAAAAGCATAGAGGGGTCCCACCTGCATGGAGGAGAGGACAGGACAGGTGACCCAAAACTGACCAACGAGGGTATTCCATCCCATCTGCCTCATGCTCAGTATAAAAGCTGAGGGATCAAAGGGTCAGCCCTCTTCCTTCAATGGCCAGCATCTGAGGATGACTCTGTCTGTTCATCTGCCTTTGATCCTGATCCGTGCATTCCTGAATCCAGATCTGGAATACAGTTCCTGTCTGTTGCCAAGTAAATTCTGGAACTTCCCCAGTGCCTTCCGGTGACGTGATTGTCATCCTGGGAACTTGATATGGTTTTGTATATATTGTATATATATTTCATTATTTCCTTTTTTATTATTTTATTATTAATATTTGATTAAAGTAGTTTAGTTCCTTCTCTCTCTTGTAGAGAGAGGTGGGGGATACCATCTGTCGTTCCGCCTGAGTGGCCAGTCTGGCCCAAACCACGACAATGGCTAAGTTTCAAGATTTTACTTACTAGTCAGTCACCATTAGCAAACTAATACCCTGCTAACATAGTTCAGTCACTGACTCTTGATTCTTAAAATACAAAATTTTGAGGGTGGCTTGCTGTTTAATGGAAACAAAGATACTCTGAGGTGCTATTTCAGTATGTCCACCAATACCTGCTACACAATAATGTCAGTCAAACCCAGTACCATAATTCAATTAGTTACCTATCATTTCAGTAAAAAAAGTACCAAATCCAATTGCAATTTTAAACATTATAAGAATATTTAACCTAACATCACAGAATAAGTGATTAAGAATAAATGCTGATATGTTTTTTCTTCATATATATTTTTTCTTCATCATCTCCTGTTGAGTACTTGGGTTTGTATCTAGAATTTGACCTCATACTTGCTTTGTCAGTTGTTCTATTTATGCCACATTGTACTAAATCAAGTTTTTAGAAATTCAAACAAACTAACCAAAGGAACTACATGCATTATATGACACTATAGTAAAAGACAGTTGTTGAAAATTTCCATACAATGGCATAATACCAAACTGCAGTAGCCACTACTGTTTAAATCTAGAAGGTCAGAATCTTAGACACATAATTATGGAAAATATGCTGTTATTATTAGTGATTTTTTTCTTTATTAAAAATATACTCAGATTAATTTCTATTATCTATATAGACCAGGGGAAACACTTTTCAGAGGTCAGATTACCCAGTTTAATGAAGATTTTTACTTAGGAACCTTGATGAGCAGGTCAAAGCATTTCAGTAACTTGTGAAATGAGCTTCTAATTATTTGAGACATCCCATTGGATTAGTAGACTGGAATGTGCCAGAGTGGCAAGAACCACTTTGTGTTTATTTGAGTAGCGGTAGAAAGGCTGAAAGACTCTTGAAGCAGGCTCTGAAAATGGGGTGAACGTGTAGGAAAATGGTATGAATTGGTTAAGAGACCTCCAACATATATACAGAGAAGGATGCTGCTAAAAGAAAACCGGACTGTCAAAACTAAAAGTGACACCACCAGATTATTTTAATTCTATTTTATCCAAAACCTTATTCCCTATTTATATATGCAAGATTCACATTAATAATCTTGAGCACACTACTAAAGTGGCAATTCATCATTTACCTAATTTCCAATTATTTTTTAAGTCACTGCTCCCTAGAAGTTGTCTTCCATTCTGTAATTATGGCTTGTGCCTTTTCTCTTTTACAAATTTCTTCACTGAAAGGGTTATCAAACATTGGAACAGGCTGCCCAGGGAAGTGGGGGAATCGCCATCCCTGGAGGTATATAATGGGTAGATGTGGTGCTTAGGGACATGGTTTAATGGTGGTGTTGGCAGTGTTAGGTTGATGGTTGGACTTAAAGGTCCCTTCCAACCTAGACAATTCTATGATTCTATGAAATGTATGACCTTATATTTGCCTTATATGGAAAGGCATTATTTTCCCCACACCCAAATTAGACAGCTTTGTATCAATGACATGTCTGTCATCCTCATTTACTACTCTCCTTAGTCACTGTCAAACAACTGCAAACAGTCAATAATGATCTACTCATTGACAAAAACACACCACTAAGGGCAAATACTGATCTCTTCAGGGCCCATTAGAAACAATCACTCAGCAATGATTGGGACCTCCAAAAAAGCTGGAGAGGAATTTTTTCCAAGCTCATGTGCGGATGGACTCAGACGCAGACCAAT